CTGCTCTCTTTCTCCTGCGCCGGCCGTTTCAGCGCCGTCCCAGCAGGCGTCTCTCTCCCCACCCATGGCAGCAGCCCGGCTCCCTCCTTCACCCTGTCCGCTCCTCCGCCTTCTCGGGGAGGCCCTGCCTGACCGAGTCCTCACCCACCCTCCACTCCCAGCCCTCTCCTCCCGGCCCGGCCCGGGTCGGTGACCTGTGGTCACCTTAATACCGGCTTGCCAGGGCCAGGACTTAGTGCAGGGACTGTGTCTGCTCTGGTTTGAGTTCCGGAGTTTGCTTACCCGGCACATAGCTGCTCCGGTTGGGGGTTTGCTGAATGAGGGACATGCGGAGCCTAGGCAGTGCCAGCAGCAGACGGCGACACCTCTCACAGCTCTTCCCCGTGTGCTAGATGATGTGCAGGAGGCTGAGGCAGGAGGATCACTCCGAGTTCAAGGTCAGCCTGGACTACATAGTGAGTTCAAGTCTAGCCTGAACTACAAAGCAAGACCCTGTCTCAGCAAAACCAGAGAGACAAACAGACAGAGACCGAGACAGAGACAGTTATTTTCTCTCTATGAGATTTGGCTGTGGAGGGCACTTCTTTGTGTTTGACTTCGAGCCTGGATCTGAAGGGCACTGCTGGCTCCTGAGATGCAGCCTCCTGCCGTGGCAGTTTTTAGCTGTGGCCGAGCTTTAAGAAGTTCCAGGCTAGGCACAGTGGCGTCCACCTCTAATCGTAGCTATCTAGGAGGCTGAGACAGGAGGATCACAAGTTCCAGTCCAGCCAGGATATTTAGTGACTTACTGAGACTGTCTCAAAATAAAAAATGTAGGCCTAGGGATGTAGTGCAGTGCTGCGGTCCTGGGGTCAATGCCATTCCCACCCAAAAGAAAGAAGCATGAGAGGGCTGGGGGGCAGCTGGGTGGAAGGGCGTGTGCCCGGCAAGCGCCCTGGGTCCAAGGCCTGCATCCCAGCAGGAAGTCACCAGAGGTGCGCCCTGGGTGTGGGGACCTGGGCCTCACACATGGCGGTCGAGTGCTCTGCACGCTCCCCCAGCCACTCCTCAGACCTTCCTTTACCGTGAGACAGGGCCTCACTGAGTTGCCCTGGCTGACCGCTAACTTGCAGTCCTCCCGCCTCAGCCTCCCAAGTAGCCTGGATCACGGGTGTGCGCCCCCACGTCCAGGTACTTCAAGGAGCTTTCCAGGTGATCCGGGCAAGCATTAGGCAGAGAACCCCTGAGCCGCACTCAGGCTAATTACACCAGGTGCTGCGGTGGAACCCCGGGCATCAATCATTTCCAGAAGCTACCTGAATGACCCTAAAGTAAAATGACCCTGCGCACAGGCCTGAGAACCACTGTGTCCTGTCCTGACCTGGGTCCCTGATCCACAGTTCACCCTCACCACTGACCCTTATAAGTGCTTTATCATCCCCTTTTTTTCTTTCGAGACAGGGTCTTACTACTGTATACAGCCCAGTCTAGCCTTGAACTCGCTATAATCCTCCTGCCTCAGCCTCCCAGAGTGCTGGAATTACAGGCACATACCACCATGATGGGCTTCAAATTCTTTTTAAACACGTGAGGGTGGTTTGGAACAAACTCCTGAGTCACCCTAAGGTAACCCTGCATCCTTAAGAACAACCCAATGGTGCATACTTAGGTGCCAAAGTGAGACAGCAGTTGCCTAGAGTTGAAGTGTGATTGCTGGGCCTCTAGCAGCCATCTTGGGCCATGAAGTAACCTTGAACCCAGGAGACAGAGGCCGCAAACAACTGAGCAGAAAGGTGGGTACCCAGCGTCTGGGAGGTGCAGAAGTCTCTGCACCAGCTGTGTCCTGGCCACACGCCAGGCTTCTTCTTCATCAGAGATACGAAGTTCTAGCTTCTCTAAGCCCAGGTGGGCTTTCCTTTTCTTTTCCTTTCTTTTGTTGTTTCTCAGCTGTTACTGGCAGCCAGACCCAACCCTCACCGCCCTGCGCGGCTGTGGTCCGGCAGTGACCTCTGTCCTGCGCGCCGGGGGCCGCGGAGCTTGGTGGTGTTAGGTGACATGGGGCAGGGGTGTGAGTTACAGAAGGCGGAGAGAGGAGAGGTGGGCCGGGGACGGAGTCACCTACCCTGTGCCTGGTCCCGGGAGCAAACAGGAGTGTGGCGGAGGGGTCGCGGGACACCTTGGGCGCCGTAGGAGGCAGCCGCGAAGCAGAGGGCAGGCCTCAGCTGCAGAGCCTCGGAGGAAGGAAGGGAAACAAGGACATTCTCACCCAGCGTGGCGGCACACACCTGTCATCTCAGCACTCTGGAGGCTGAGGCAGGAGGATCACTATGAGTTGGGGGCCAGCCTGGGCTACATAGTGAGATCCTGCCTCAAAAATAAATTTAAAAAATAAATAACAAAATACAGATGAGGGCTGGGGACTTTGCTCCATGCATGTGTGGGGCCCTGGGTTCGATCCCCAAAAAAGAAACTAAAATAAGAACTCGATGCAGGGCTCTGCTGGGTCCCTCGGTGACTGCGGCATCCCCCTGTGCGCCCTTCCTCCCCGCTGCTGACGCCCCTGGCCGCGCCCGACCGTCTGCTTTTGGCCTGTGCACGGCGCGTGTCCCGGGCGAAGCCATCCGCCCCCAGCAGCCAGGTTTCTTGTCTTGTGCTCTCTGCTGGGTCCCCGGCCCCGCCGTTGCGTTCACACTTGCTGAGTGAAAAAGCGTTTTAAATGACTAAAGCTAAAGCTAATAAAGCCCGTGATGTTGAAACTATTTCCAGTGAAAGGATTCAAGGCTGCGGGAAATGCAGTCAGTAGAGCTGGGTGACAGTGATGAGACTTCAGGCCTCCTGTGCCTGTCGCGAGCCCAGTGGCCCCGTGAGTGCTGGGGCTCAGTCCTTCCTTTAGGAACCAGCTCCCGCCCTTCATGAGGACCCCCGGGGCCTCCCTCCTCCTGGGGCACCGTGGGGTCTGTGATGTGTCAGAGAGACAGGGCCCGGGCAGGTGGCGCCTGGGGCCAGGATAAGTGGCGGCAAGCAATCGCAGCACTTGCTGAGGCTGAGGCAGGAGGATTGCCGTGAGTTCCAGGCCATTCCGGGCTACATGGCAACACCTTGTCCCAGAGAAACGAAAGAAGATTGGTAGCTGCATGCTGAGGACCCGCCCCACGCGGTCACACCCGCCAGGCCAGGTGGACTCAGGGCAGGCAGGGGGCCCAGCGCGCCAGCGGGAGCCAGGCCTTGGGCGCTGTGGCTCCCCCTTGTCACTTTTATTTTAAGCCTGGTGCTTCCCCATCTCAAGCCTGAGCTCCGGCGCCGGCACAGGGTCCTCCCTCTGTCACCCAGGACGACTGCGTCTTGTACCTGGAGAAGCCGAGTCAGGAGACAGCGTCCGGCGCTTCTCCTCCGTGTCAGCTCCCGGCAGCCCCTCGCCCCGGCGGGCGCGGCGGGGAAAACTGAGCGCATGGCCTACTTACAGCGGCGTTAATTACGGGCTCCGGGTGGTGTTTTCCTGCCAGCGCATAACCAGCTCCTGGGGCTGGGCACAGGGACCTTGCTCCGACACTGCTCCCCTGCAGCTGGAGTAACCGTGGGGCGGGAGGGGTGGCGAGCAGTGCCAGGTGGTGGCAGGGCTGGCACCGCTGCCCTTCACCTGTGTGGGTGAGGTGGGCCTGAGATCACGGCAGGAAGTGGCGGCCAGAGGGCGCCCCGGGCCTCGCCTCACCCTGCATGGGTTCTCTTCCATGCCCTGGAGGGCTCGCTGCCCACCCTGGGGCACACACGCACGTGCACAGGGCACACTCGGACGCAGGAGCGCACACACAGACCTGCATTGCACACGCGTGCGCAGGCCCCAGGGCTGGGAAACGCTTCTCGCTCCAGTGGACGCCGTCTCCCCGGCCGGCCTGGGGGGCGGGCGAGGGTATCGTTACCGCTCCTTTACCCGGCAGTGGCCCGAGAGGGGAAAACAACACGGAGAAAGTTTTTCCTCCTCTCTGAGTCTAATTACTTGTCTGGTGAGTCCCGACCCATATACATTTCCTAAGAGACACTCGATGCCTGCCGGGCTTGGAGGCCGCCAGTGCGAATCCGCCCCTCCGCGACTCCAGGAAGCCGATTCTCATGGGGTCCTTGCGGAAGTCCCCGCTGGCCTCCTGGCTCTGTGCCCATCTTGCCTCTGCCCGGGCCCACCAGGCTCTTCCCTGCCACCTGTGTTTGTCCAGTGTGTCCCTTGCCACTACCTGTGACAGGTGGCCCGCTTTGCCCCCGCTCCTCCCCAGGCTAGTGGCCCTCCCCCCAGCAAGCTGTTCACCTCTTACCTGGTGGCGTTTGCAGAACATTCACTTGCACTTTCTATTTTTTGGTTTTTTGAGAGTCTCACTCTGCAGCCCAGGCTCGCCCAGACCTTGGGGCGATCCTCCTGCCTCAGCCTCCCGAGTGCTGGGATTACAGGTCGTGCGCCACCACGGCAGGCTCTCACTTGCATTTATCGACCTGCTGAGTCCTCTTCCAACGAGGATGCCGCCCCACTTCTGCGGAACGTGCGTCCTCACAGGGAGAGAACGGCAGCAGACGTGGTGCACGCCTGTCGCCCGCAAGGCTCCCGATCACCACAAGTCAGAGAGCGGCCTGGCTGCAGAGTGAGACCCTCTCTTAGAGAAACAAAAACAGAAGCAAAACCCAGACAGACAGCCAGGGGGCCGATGAAGAGGACGCCAGGGTGGGACACGGACTCGGCCCCACATAGCACCGGGAGTCGCAGCAGGACCGTGCCTTTGCGGCTCGTCCGCCCTGGGCTGTGAAAATGTCCCAGTGGCTGAGAAGAGAAGGCCCCGAGCGCGCCCAGCGCATCCTCTCCGCGACGAGCGCTGAGGGCGCCAGGGCTGTGCTCAGCGGGCTTGGAGGGACCCGGCGGAGGACGCACCCAGGCTGACGTCCCGTCCCGGGGGCATGGAGGCCTCCTGCGCTCTACAGGGCCCCACCTCGTGCCCCAGGACCCCAAGACGCCAACAGTGCCCTCTTCTTCCGTCCCGTAGGTGACACCCACGGCATTGGAGGACTTGGACCCCAGCCACTGGAGGACAGCCCTGCCGAGCCCCTGCCTCCCGCCTCCCCTGAGCCCAGCGCGGGCCCAGCGGACGAGGATGTGCGGCCCTGGTGCCCCTCGCTGCAGGAGGTGATGGAGCTGCTCCACAGCCTGGGGGCCCACAGCCCCACCGCGTACCTGCCGGGGCCCTGCAGCAGGTGGGTGCCAGCCCTTCCTCGGGCCGCCTTCCCTGCTCCATCCACGTCTGCATTCCGCTCCAGCCCGGGAGGTGGGGACATTTTAGGGTTTATTATTATTATTATTATTATTATTATTATTATTGGTTTTGAGACAGGGTCTCACTGTGTACTTAAGGCTGGTCTTGAACTTACTGTGAAGCCCAGGCTGGCTCTGAACTCGCAGCGATCCTCCTGCTTCAGCCTCGGGCACGCTCAACAAATTCACATTGGGAGGGCGCACAGGAGGGGCTCTAAGGAGCCACTGGGCTCCGCTTGGAAGCGGAAATGGCCGTGGGAACTTTACAGCCCAGGCTGCGCCCCACTCGGCACACAGCCGTTTCCTCCTTCCCGGTTTCCCCAAGATCTGACTGCCTCCTGACCTTCCTGCTGCAGGGGCCAGGTGGTGTTGGAACTGTGCCGCTGTCCCGGCAACTGAGAGGCTGAGACAGGAGGGTCGCCTTGAATTTCAGGCCAGTCTGGCCTACATAGTGAGCTCAAGGTCAACCTGAACTGCGTAGCAGGACCCTGCCTCAAAAAGAACGGTGGCCCAGAAATGCATCCTTTACACTCCTAGGGCACACAGAGCCCAGCACACAGACTCCTGTCGGGGGAGGGTGGAGCCGGGAGGTCCTGGCGCGGCTCAGAGAGCTGCGGGCGCCGTGCAGCCTCATTCCCAGTGTGGCTTCGACCCGCACGTGCGCCCACCTCCTTCTCTGGGCCCTTTGGCCTCCCCGAGACTGAGGGCTGCAGTCACAGTACCTAGGCCAGGGGCAGTGCAGTCCTCCCGCCTAGAGAACCCTCCTCTCCTGGCTGGGCAGGGCGGCAGGGGCTCAGGGACACCCCTGGGATGCTGGCGGGATGCAGCTGCCCCGAGACAGCCATGGGTAGCCAGAAGGTACCGGAGGACTCCAGGGCCCGTGTGCCCCCTCCCTGTGGCCCTGTGCGCTCTCGCCCCTGAGCGCCCTCAGAGGCCTGTCCTGGGCCCGCTGGTTCCGCATCAGGAACCACCATCCTTCCCTTCCCTGCCAGCCTCGAGGGCACACCCAGCACAACAGGCACCTTGGGGCTCTTCAGGGGCACCCACGGAGTCTCAGTGGCCATGGCAAGGTATCTGCACGCAGCCCTACAACCTGCTCACCTCTTGGTTGCTGTGAGAAAGAAGCATCTTCCAGTCTTTGTTCCCAATCTCAGGTTTTCTTAAAGTCTATTGCCATCTCTCCTCTAAAGCGGACTTCAAGATTTCCTTTCAGGCCGGGCGTGGTGGCACGTGCCTATGATCCCCAGCACGTGGGAGGCTGAGGCAGGAGGACCTCTGTGAGTCTGAGGCCAGCCTGGGCTGATGAGTTAAATGCCAGCTGGAACTGCATAGCAAGACCCTGTCTCAAAAAAAAAAAAAAAGAAAGAAAGAAAGAAAGAGAGAAAGAAAGAAAGAAAGAAAGAAAGAAAGAAAGAAAGAAAGGAAGGAAGGAAGGAAGGAAGGAAGGAAGGAAAGAAAGAAAGAAAGAAAGAAAAAGAAAAACTTCCCTTGGAAAGATGTAGCCCTGCAGCTGGACCATGCAGACCATCTGATGCCCACCTTGTTGCAAATACAGTGCTCCTGCTCAGTGGCGAGGCTGGGGAGGGAAAAACATAGGGCCTTGGAGGGTGAAGGGGCAGAGAAAAAGGACCAGCATGTGGACACAAGTGGAAATGGCACAAGTGGAAGTGACCACGCTCAGCCTGGGGTGGGGGGACCCGCGCCTGCGCCCTTCTCCCCTGGCTGCCGTGGCGGGGCCCCCAGGCCATTCCTGGGTTCTGGCCCGGCTGCAGAGCCGCCTGACATGCAGGCCCAGCGATGAGAGCCCCACGATCTGGGCCGTGGCCGAGGACCACCCTGCAAGGCCAGATGGGTACACGGGTGACACTTGGCACGTCGGAAGGACATCCTCTGCAGCATGGAGGCCATGGCACTTGGCCTTCCACTGGAGTGTCGTTAGGTCTGGGTCAGATGTCCCTCGCCCCCTTCTGTGAGCTTGGCGTGGACTCCTCGGGGCAGCGGCTCCAGCGTGGCTGTGGCGTAGGGGGCGGATGGACAGCGCCCGGCCTGCCAGCAGGCGGCTCTCCGCTGTGGTGGCAGCAGTGTCCCTGCGGCCGTCACCACACTGGACCAGCACTGTGTCACCATCTGTAACCCAAACGTAGAAGCGCAGGGAGAGGCCAGCCACGTACCCGGAGGGCATGGTCACTTGCCGAGGGTAGAGCGGCTCCTGCACTCTGGGTGCAGGCTGTGAGCCCTAATCCTGGGCTGGGACCCTGGACACCAAGGAGGCCACTGCTCATAGGGTCTGACTGGGGCCCCCGGGGAGCCCACCGGGCTAGGAGGGATGCAGGTTCACCGGGCCGCGCTGTCCTGTGTTCTGTGACCCTGCACTGGTGCCCGATGGCATCCCAGGGACAGGTGTCTCGGGATGGCGGTCCCAGATGCCAACCCTTGAGGCAGAAGGCAGGAGACACGGGATCCCTGGCACGGGGCCGTGCCCAAGGTGGGGACCGAGGAGAACACTCGCTGGTGAGGGCTGTGTCGCAGCCACACCCGCTCCGCAGCTCAGAAGACGTGACGCCCGCCACACTTTCTCCGCTCCTCCTCCCTTTGGCAGTCGCAGAGTGACTGCAAACCGTCTTTGCAGCAGGCTGGCTGCCCAGCCCTCGGGAGACCTGCAAGCCAGCACCACCACCACCACCGCCCCCCCACCTGGGTACGTGTGCGCACTCGCGGGCTGCACAGCCGGCCGATGCCAGCCCCACCCATGCTAAAACTGGGCAGGCCCCAGCCTTCGCCTCCTCTCCACCAGCCTTGCCTCATTGGCACCAGCTTTCCAGGTACCAAGAAGACGGATCTGTCCTCCTCCCCGCCCGGAGGCAGCGCCAGCACCAAGATGCGAAGAACAGACTTTTCTTCCCCAGAACTGTGGGAGTGATGCCCTTAGGCAGGCACAGCGGCCCATGCCTGTGGTCCCAGCACTCAGGAGGCTGAGGCAGGAGGATGACCTTGAGTTGAAGCCCAGCCTGAGCTAACCAGAAAAACTGTGGCTCAAAACAAGAGCAGTGCTCTTCCATTCCCCACCCCCAGCGTGACTGGCCTCGGCCGCCTCACCTGGCTGCTCCGTGCGTGCCTGGGGACACCCACCTCGCAGACACTCGCCCTGAACAACTTGTCAGGCCCAGCGGGACCCCTGGAGGGGGAGGGGCTCATGGGCGTTTTCACATGCACTCGGGGGGCTCCAGCATCAGACAAGGACACAGTGCGGGGGGACCCTTGCAGCTTGGAGCCAGGATTCCCAGGGCCCAGCCCCCACCGGCTACAGTGAGAGCCCTCACTGTCCCCTCATGGAGCTCCCGCACACCACGGGGCAGTCAGGTCGGGGGTCACGTCCAGGACGGTTGTGACAGGCCACGCTCACCTGGGCATGCGGCCCCCCCCTCCCTCCCCCTCCTTTGTTTCCTTTCTCTCCCTCCCCCCCCCTCCCTGTGTGTCTCTGTCCCCACCTCGCCACCTTTGGGAAAGCCAGCTGCCCTGTTGGGCCCTGGAGAGGCCCCTGCGGTGAGGAACTGGCCCCCGCCACTTGGTGACCCCACGAATGAGCCAGAGGTGACTTCAGCTGCCCAGCGTCGTGAGGGCCACCTCCGTCCTGACCCCGGCCGCACACCCTGAGCCAGCTCTAGACTCTGGCTCGCAGAGCCTGCGTGAGAAGATAAACGTGCTCTTTACACCTTCGCGGTTGGTGTGACCCGTCACACACGGCCACGGTGGCCATGGACGGCTGGGTCCCGAGCCCTCCCGCTGTGCCCCGTCCCCCCGCCTTGCGCCCAGTCCTGTGACCCCCTTGCCACGGTGCCCCAGCTGCTCCTGTCTCGCTGCAGAACACTAGACGGTGGGGACAAGGAGCAGCAGGACCCGCCCCAGGAGACGGCCTTGGACATGTGCCTGAGCAACATCTACAAGGTGGGTCGCCTTCCGGCCACCTCCCCGACAGCGCGGCACGGCCTGTGCAGCAGTCAGGCCGGAGTGGGGCCCCGAGCTGGGTGGGCCTCACCTGCTGTTGGCTCCGCTCCGCGCAGCCTGGCGCGGGGGTTCCCGTCCTCGCGGTCCCCGGCGGCCCCCCACCCCGGCGCTCTTCCCTGCAGTTCCTGACGCTGTGCGTCTACGTCCGCCCGGGGGTCTACACTGATGCCACCCTCCTGGGCCTCACCGAGCTTCTGTGTCGCACCGGCCTGGACGTGGGGCTCCGCCTGCTGCCCAAGACCAACCTCCAGCAACTCCTGCTGCAGCTGCTGGAGTGCGTCCGCGAGTGGCCCGGCAAGGTGTGTGCCCCGTGGAGGGCACTGGATGCCCCTGACCTCCGTGACCCCTACCTCCTCCCCTGAGCGGGCTGGGCCGCAGTCAGGGTGGCGGGTGGGGGTGGCAGCGTCCTGCAGCCCGCGCTGTCCCTGTGCCCACAGCTGCAGCGCCTGTGCCGTGCCCTCAGCTGGGTGTCCGACCACCACCACAACCTGCTGGCCGTCGTGCAGCTCTTCCCGGACGTGACCCCGAGGGGCAGGTGGGTGCTGCTCCCCGGCTCCCCGCTTCCCTGCCCTCGCCCTGGGAGCCATAGCCAAAAATACGAAGCACTAATGACTTCTCTACAAACAGACCCAGAAAAAGCCCAATTCTCTTAATGTGTCTCATCAGCAAGCCTGGCTCTCGCAATTAGCTTCCCGCAGTGCCCCGCCCTCCCCGCCCGCTCCAGCTCCCCAGCACACAGCATTCCCCTCCACTCCAGTTATCTTGCCGTGTGCACCCTGTGTGTGGCTGCCTGTCCCCGCCGCAGCCCCTCCAAAAGAGCAGGTGCCTCGATGAGATCCCTGCGCTATCGCCCCGCGTCCAAGACAGTACCTGGCAGGCTGTTGGTGCTTGGGAAATTTTTTATGAAAGATTGATGATGAACGAGGTAGACAAACAATGAAGCTATCTGGGGAGACTGAGGCAGTCGGATCCCAAGTTTGAGGCCAGCCTGGACAACTCAGACCCTGTCTCTCAATTTTTTAAAAAGGCCTGGGAGTGTAGCCGAGTGGGAGAGAGCTTGCCTAGCAGGCATGAGGGCCTGGATTCAATCTTCAGTACAGCTAAAAAAGGGAAAAAAAAGCGCACCGGCTGGACTTGATCTCAGCTCTTTTCCTCTCTCCTTCTTCCTTCCGGTTCCGCCTCCTGAGTGAGCAGAGCCCTCCCCAGACCCCTCCCGCTGGGACCCACCCCTCCCATCCCAGCCTGGCCGGGTTGCCCACTGGGGCAGGTCCCTGCCGCTCCCACCCCAGCCCCCTCCCCCGCCACCATGTCCCGGTGCTCAGCTCAGGACAGACGCCTGCTCCCTGCCCGAGGCCCAGCCGGCCCCGCTGTGTTCTGGACTCACAGGCCGGGCCAGACGCCACGAGTCTGGCAGAGAGTGGCGGTCTCTCCACAGTCCTGAAGGGACTGTCCCTGCTGTGTGGAAGGAACCAGGCTCCTGGAACCCTGCCCAGGCCTCCTGGTGCTGGGTGGGTGGCACCCTGCCCAGCCCGGACCCCTCAGATTTCTTTCAGGCTCATCCGAAGAGGCTCAGCCCTGCCTCCTGGCCCCTGCTCTGTTGCCCAGGCCAGAAATGGTCCTAGAGGTTCCTGCACGGCCACCTCACCTGTATCTTCTCATCCCTAAATCTTGTGCTTAGCCAGGTGTGGAGGCGCATACTTGTAATCCCAGCACTCTGGAAGGCTGAGGCAGGAGGATCAAAAGGTCGAGCCCAGCCTGGACAATTTAGAGACTTATCAAGACCCTGTCTCAAAATAGAATGTAAAAGAGGTCTCGGGATGGAGCTCAGTGTGAAAATCCTGGGTTTAATCTCCAGGACTGAAAAGGAAAACCCCTCAGTCACCCTCTGCCCACCTCCTCTTGCTGTCGTTTCTTCGTCTCCTCTGGAGCACAGCGGAGGCATCTGCCCCCCCCCCGCCCCCGCGGCCCAAAGGCCGTGGATTCCAGATGCCTGTGGGTGTTGTGGCTCTGCTCACGGCACTCCCACCCGCCTGGCCAACGTCCCCGTGGTCCAGCCTGACTCGCATTTGCTCCGCAGGGTCATGTTGCTTGTGGTTGTTTTCCTCAAATCTGCGTCTTACGTGTCTGTGCGTGTGTATCTGTGATGGGCCCTTTTTTTTTCACGGCTGCGTCATATTCCCTAGTAGGCCTGAAACCAGTCTCTGGCCCTGGATGTTCCCCTAGGGACAGTCCACGTGTACCAGCTTTGGGCATTTCTGCAGATAATTCTCTACAGTGAACTCCTTGAAGGAAAATTGCGGTCCTAAAATCTGCACATTTAAATTTGGGCCTAAAAACAGCAAAGCTAGACGGGGTCATATGCCACCAAGCGATGATAAAAACGTCTGTTTGTCCACATTGTCATAGACCCGGCGTTTTCTCAGTGCTGTCTTTTCAGTCGCAGTCAATCTGAAAGAGACCATCCTGTGACTCTTCAATTTTATTTCCCCGATCGCCAGTGAAAGTGAGCGAGCCTCTTTCTGCGTCTCAGCCTTTTGTGTTGCTTTCACTATAAATCACGCCCTACGGTTCCTCCCCATTCCTCTGTCAGGTAATTCATCTTTCTAACTATCCTGACGTATGCATTACTCACTGCGTGTTGCAAACACTGTATTGTCCTGTATTTTCTCCTAAGGTTGCAAATTGTCTATTTATTTATTTGTAAATTGTCATTTTTAAATCTTCATGTGTGGTGTCATCTAGCAAACTGGATGTTTTCTTACTGGTTTGATTTTTTTCTTTTAAAACAAAACAGAACAGGGTCTCCCTGTGTAGCCCAGGATGGCCTCACGGCAATCCTCCTGCCTCAGCCTCCAAAGTGCTCAGCTTGTAGGTGTGCACTGCCACACCCAGCAATCATCTTTAAGTTTTCAAGTACTTAGATGTGCCGGAGAGTGGCATGGGTGGGCCAGAGAGCGGACCGGGACTCTTGTGTCATGAAGCCTTTGTGTCTGGAGTAGCAGACCTTCCCCACCGTAAGACCACAAAGACTCTCGGCCTGTTTTCTCCCAGGACTTGGTAAGCTTGTTCCCGGCAGTTTCCTCCCTCAGGAATCCATTTCTCCTAGGTAGGAGACAAGGCTCGAACTTGATTGCTTTCCACCCCAAAGAGCCAGCGTACCTGAGACCTTTTTCCGGATAAATCATCTTCCTTTCCCAGTAGATCTGAAGCACCCTGTGTCATACGCCAGACCTGCAATGATGCGCGTTCCCCACCGGCCACGGGGACTGCAGTGTGGGGACCTGTGTCTTCTTGAGGTCTAAGTCAGTCCAGGGTCCAGCAGAAGCGGCCTTTAGTGTTAGGGAGCGACTGAAGCAGAGTGTCTTTCATCTGCCCTCTGGCTGCTACCTCAGGCCAGGAGCTTTGGATTTGTTATTTATATATTTACTTACTTGAGACAGGGTCTCGCTGTGCAGCCTAGGCATGCCGTGAACTCACAGGAACTCTCCTGCCTCAGCCTCCCTAGTCAACATGCCAGGCTGGACCAGGAGCTTTACTAAACAAGAGGCTTACTCATTGGGATGAGTATTACTTATGTAGAAATTTTATTTGTTTAATTTCCTAAAAGGATAGCATTTAAGGGGTACAGAATTCAAAAGGTGCAAAGAAGTAGGCAGACGCAGAAACGCACCCCATCTGGCCCCGAGCTGCCCGCCCGTTGCCGTCTCTGGGCACGGAGCACTCATGCGCGACCTGGCCCCTATGCGGCACTTCGCAGCCCTTTCCCGTTCTCTTTCCGGGCCTCGCTGCGCACAGCATGGGCTCAGCTTGGCACTGCCCCCTGCACGTCCCCTGCAGTGGTGTTGTCGCAGGAGCGGGCCAGCGCCTGCTCTGCCCGTGCTGGTGGCTGCCCCACTGCGCTCTGTGCCCAGGCTGCCCCCAGGAGGGAGGGCAGGCTGTTGTAGGAGGGGCTGTCACAACCTCGGACTGCTCAGCTCCAGGGGAACAAAGAAGGCACTCCCGCCGGCCCTGGCGCCTGCTCCCCAGCCCCTGATGCCCACATCTAAGAGCTTCCCCTTCACAGATGACAGTAAATAAGCCAGGTGTGGTAGTGCCTGCCTGTAAGCACTCAGGAGGCTGAGGCAGGAGGACCGCCACAAGTTCAAGGCCGGCCTGCGCTGTATAACGAGAGTCTATCCCAAAAGCAAAGGAAAGGAAACACTAGAACAGACCACCGACGCGGGGCCAGTAGGAAGAAGGAGGTCTGTGCAGGGAGGGCGAGCCTCTGGGGTGGTCCTGGGTTGCTGTCATGAAGGGCAGCGTGCCACCCTGGCTTCAGACTTCCGCCCTGGGTCCCCAGCGGGAGCCATGCTTGGAGCAGGACCTGTGGCCACTGGGCCCCTCCCAGGGCCTGCAGGAGGAAGATCGCGGCTGAAGGCCGCTCAGCTGCATGCAGAGCCGATGCCCCAGCTGCAGGGGACCCGGCTCCTTGCCATCTGCCCCTGTTCTCAGTGCCACAGCCCCTGCTTGCCCAGCTTTCGGAGCGGCAGAGGGTGGGGCTGAGACGGGAGACAGGTGCACGGGGCCCTGCGATCCCTCTGCGGGGCGGTTTGGCAAAATCAAGCAGATGGCTTCAAGACCTGCAAACTTCCCCAAGCAGTTTCACTGGGGGAAGCTGGAGAGAAAGAGTTCTTGTTGAGCGCACTCGGTGTAGTGATGTTTGTAACAGTGACACAATTGCAATCTGCGTCAGTGCCCCATGGGTGGAGTTCTAGCCAGACCACCGTGGGGTGTTTCATAGCACTCAGAAATGACACAAGGAAGCTGAGTGTGGTGGCACACATCTGCAATCCCAGCGTGCAGGAAGCTGAGGCAGGAGGTCACAGAAATAGGGAGAATAACAAGGAGGGGCCCAGGCACCCGCATCCCGCCTCTTGAGACACTTGGGGCCACGCGATTCCGCTCTGGCCACGGCTACGCCCCATGCGCTGGCCCTTACACACCCGCAACCACACCAGGGTCACCTAGGATGCCTGACATTGTGACAGCCCTCATGAGCACAGTCACCTCCAGACGCAGAGCTCAGCAACTCCCCTCAAGCCCGCCCCGCAAGCCTGGAGCTTTGACGCCGGCCAGGAGGGCTCTCGTGACACGGCCCTTCTTGTGCTGGCCCTGGGCCGTGCTGGGGACTCATGTCTCCACATTCCCTCTGTCCAGCTGTCACGGCGTCCAGGGCAGCTCCCTGGGCATGAGGTCCGGGGTCCTCTCTGTCCCCCAGCACTTAGGCGACCGAGATGTCACAGTGCTCTGTGAATGCTGGGGTTAGCAGGTGACCACGCTGGCTCTCAACTCTTCTCTCTGCTGCTGTGACAGAGACGTGGGATGTGGGGCCTAGGAGGAGCCCCGTGTCGTGCTTACCTGTGCAGGGAAGCGGGAAGCCGGGGCGGATGGCCCTGTGTCCTTACCCCAGGAGCGAGGTCTAGGCTCCACCAATTGGATGCTCCGAAGGTAGGGGACCAGGGACAGCAACCCTCACCAGTCCCTTCTTGAGCAAAC